GAGATGAGGTATTATGCACATTATTTACATTATTCGGATTATTTTCCTCATCTTCGTCGCCATATTTATTACAACGTTTCCGCCTTTCAGTATCTGTCTATATTTCTGATGTGAGGTATTATGTACATTATTTACATTATTATTTGTCATCTCAATAACTTTGCTGAGATTAATTGCGCGTTAATGTTCTTAACCACTGGAATTTTGTCTGGACCTGTGGCTTTCTTAGGGTCAAGGCCTTTGATAAGTCTTGAAACTACTCGTATTGTGATAGTAATCTTAAAGAGATTGGGCTCAGTGAGGCGTAGGAACCTGAGGAAGATATGGTTTTGCCATTTAACGTTGAGTTAGAGGCAAATATGAAGGCGAATAGGTTTGCTTTATCTGTCGTATAGTGAGGTAGGTAATGAAGGAAAGAAAGATAAAAGGTTTAAACATCAAGTGCAAGAAGACAGAATGCCTAGTTAGCAAAAGGATGAGCCCAAATTACACTATTTACATTATTCGGACTATTGTCCTCATCTATGTCGCCATATTTATTACATTTCGGCCGTTGTACTCTCCGTTGTACTCAAAATCATACCTTCCTTGGATTCCCGCTCCTCACTGAGGACAATCTCTTTAAGATTACTATCACAGTACGAGTAGTTTCAAGACTTATCAAAGGCCTTGACCCTAAAAAAGCCACAGGTCCAGACAAAATTCCAGCGGCTGTCCTTAAGAACATTAACGCGGAATTAATCCCAGAAAAGTTATTCAACCATTGACTGAAGGAGAAATCCTTTCCAAGCCTGTGAAAAGTGTCAAGCATATGCCCGCGGGCGTGCGATCTTCCTCCTCCCAGTGCAGACCCATCAGTTTCCTCAGTATCATCAGTAAGCCTTTTGAGGCTATAAGGCCATCGATCACCTAGAAAAGAACAACCTCTTCAGCGACGAGCAGTATGGATTTCGATCAGCCCGATCCACTGCTGAGGTCCTAACTACCATCACTCATCGAACCAGTGAGGCCCTTGACGATAAACAGACCTCGAGGACCACAGCAGTAGGGCCTTCGACAAGGTGTGGCACAAAGGCTTACTACACGAGCTCCCCAGTTACGGAATCCATGAAAGGGTCTTCTTCCTTCCTGAATGACCAGTCTTCTGGAACGCCAGCGGTCACTCCTCGGACCATACCTCTTTTTGATCTACATAAATGTTCTGCCTAAGTATATATTCTGATCATTTATAAACATCTATGCCGATGATACGACTATATACGGGCGTACCTCTAAAACTCAATATTCAGAGATTGGCGACTGATCTCCCTTCCGATCTTGCACAAACTACCCAGTGGAGTAAAAACTGGATGGTTATATTCAATGCCTTCAAAAACCAAGTTATATTCCATCATCGCCGATTTGACCCCGAACTACCACCAATCAGGATGAACGGAGGTCTTCTCAGGGACGCAGCCGGCCTTGAAGAACTCTTAGGCCTCAAACTCACAAGTAGAACTCGTGCATACGAACCGTTGCTAAGGATGCAGGTAAAATGGTCGGCTTCCTGTACCGCTCCAGTAAGTACGTGACCCCCCCTGCCATCCTCTAACTCTACAAGAGCCATATCAGGCCAAAAATGGAGAAGCTGTTGTTATATATATATATATATATATATATATATATATATATATATATATATATATATATATATGGGCGCGTGCTGCCTAGAACTCGTTCTCCAGCCTCGATAGAGTTCATAAGCGTCTCTGATCCCTTGTAGGTGACGACTTATTCTATACCCTTTAACCCCTCTCCCACAAGAGGGATGTAGCAAGCCTCTCCCTGCTCTACCGCTACTTCCGCTGAAAGTGCTCGGATGAACTACATTTCCTGGTCCCGCCGAAGGAAACCAAATACAAATATAAAGCAACTGTTAACTTTGATGAAAATTGGTTGAAAGATCAACAAAAAATAAGAAAGAAACCATTAACAATCGCCATTTTTCGCTGTTCACGTGTGTTTTCACTATATAGGTGGACTCAGTTATCAAGTTAAATTACTCTTAAACAATCAACTTATTGTTGGCTACAATTGAGTGAAGTTTGTATTAGATTGCTTGAAAACTGAGGGAGTTTTTAGTTTAAAATTTGTGTTGAAATCGATTTTTCGTTTTCCGCGGCTTTTCGCTAAACGCAGTGGCGTAGAAATAAAAATGAGTTATCGTTGAGCTAGTCATGATGTAAGTAACCTACATACGGAGTTTGAATGAAATTGGAGGAAAAAAATTGAATTTATGGATTTATGATAGCTTTATCGATTGATTTTTTTTATTTTTAAATATCGACATTTTTACGCTAAGACCCTTTCACTTACATGGTACAATGTATGTGCTAAAATTGGCTGGATGGATCTCGAGCGAAAAGGTATCAAACGGACAGACAAACATACAGACATCCTCTGTTTTATATATATGTAATGATTAAGGATTTAAGTTTTTGATGCAAACATACAAGTTTTTTCTTTTCCCGCCAACCGAATGCCGTCTCTTTACTCGACAAACGACAACAGTGTAAAAGAAAAGTCAATAGCTGTGAAAAGACAAGTAAACATGAACGCAGACTATTTTACAATATGTGTAGAGCGGCTAATACGCAGAAGAATAAATTGCCTCTGTAATCGTTTATGTCTCATTCGTTTCCATTGTAACATTCTTCTAATAAACAAGCATTGGAACTTCTCTTTCCCCAGACCTTCGTTTCGAATCGACAGAAAATAAAGCGAATTCTATTCAGCTCCAAGAGTAACGGCTGCAAACATTTCAGAACGCTATTTTGTCATCACCTGTCCAATTGAAAATCGCAAGACTCAAATACTCCCCCTCCATCCCTTGGCCAAGGAAATTAAAAAATAGTGCGCCTTTCTTTTATCGATCGGTTTTCCCGCCACTTCCCAACCCCCATCTAAAAAGCATCGAAGAAAAAAACAAACAAAGATGTTAATCGGAAGTCTTGTACGCATGTGCAGCGCAATTAATTTTGAAAGCTATAAAACTAGTGCCGATGTTATTTATTTGTAATGGTACTGACTGATCGAATTGGAAAATACCCCGACACACGTACACGCGTATACACGCACACATACACGCAGCTATAAACACACACACACACACAAACTCACACACAGCACTACAAATTATACGCTTTATTGCCGGGGGAAAATCGCCATGAACGTATAAACGATAACATGTCTTTAATTCCCCCCCCCACACACACAACTATATGTATACATATTATTCTATATTTATATTATTTCAGTTATATTATTTTATTTATAATATTTTTATATCATATTATAATTTATATTTATATACTTATTTATATTTCATAATTGGTTAATACTTGATTAATAATATCTAATAATATTAAATATTATATTTATATTATTTTTATTTATATTGTTTTATTTATTAATTTTGTACACACTCACACACACACACACATGATATAAGAATGACAATTGGAAAAAATCTAAATTTTTGCCGACGCGTTTTGTCTTCCGGTTTTATCAAGGCAAAATTGAAGTGAAATGTTTTTGTTGTCATAGTTACATTAAATCCAAATTTAACTTTTGATTTCATGTAACTATGAAAACAAAAATATTTCGCTTCAATATTGCCTTGATAAAGCATATATATACATACATACATACATACATATATATATATATATATATATATATATATATATATAAAGATAAAAAAATAAAAAAACAAATGAAAACTACAGACAAAAGTTCATTTTCTCCATCAAGACATTCATTTCTGTAGTTCACTGCTACCAGCAAGCAGAAATATTTCTCCTCCTGATGATGGCCATGTTGGCCGAAACTAGTCAAGGAATCTAAATGGAATAATAATAAAAAAACGAAAGAATATTAATCTACAACCCAGTGTGTCCAAAGATTTTAATTTTTTATTTTCTTATTGTTCAATATATATATATATATATATATATATATATATATATATATATATATATATATATATATATATATATATGTATGTATAAGGTCAGGTGAATGAAATAACTAGACAGTTATAGACATAGTGCTCGATGTGGTTAGACAAAGCTAATATATATATATATATATATATATATATATATATATATATATATAACATTAACATTATAGCATTAAATAATTATTTAACCCAAGTTCGTTGTCAAGTTTAGTGAATTCTCATATACTTGTATTTTGATTGGTCATTCCAGCTTATGTAACAACGTTTCCCCTAGCGAGGGATGTTTGATTGATTTGCATCTTTTAAAACCCTTTTAGTCTACATTCAACATCATCACTTGATAAGACACCAGAAGTGTTGAAACAAAATGGCTGATTTTTAGAGATTTTTATAACATATTTATGTTATAATTTTCGAATAAATAATATATATATATATATATATATATATATATATATATATATATATATATATATGATTAAAATATTGTATAGAGCAGCCTGTTCAGAGCTGCAAAAGAGTTTGGGGATATTAGATGAGCGTAAAATAGCCACATAAATAATCAAGAATTCTAATAATTAAAGAATTTAAGACAATTATATAATTCCCTGACTACCAAAAACTATTGCGTGTGGGGAGGGTGGTAAATAAAAAAGTATGTCTCGGCTTTCATGGTGTTTTTTTTTTCCCCCCTACGATAAAGAATAGAATTCACATAGTTCTCAATATGGAAAGATGGCGGCTCGTTTTCAAAACATCAAAAGAAGCCATTTGTTTGTTTGGCGGGCAAAAGAGAAACGCGGATATCTAAGCTGAACAAAAAAGCGGGAAGAAGATGGGGTAAAAACTGAAAATAATGATATAGATTTATGATGCTAAGAACACTGATAAGAATAAGTAAAAGTTGAAGTAGAAATCAATAATAATAATAATAATAATAATAATAATAATAACAATACAAGAAAGTAGAAGAAGATGAAGAAAAAGAAGAAAAATA